ACAGCCATACCATCAATTAAACATTTGTGTATTATCTACAAATTTAAATTTAAAAATGCGCCACTTCTTCTGCTAGCGAGTGGAGTATAACTGAACTCATGACCTTACCAAATAAAGAATGTGAGTTTAGGAGACAGGGTTCTATCTTATGATATAATGGATCCTTGAGTATGTCAACAAATTCGTAGCGCGTTAATTAGCAAAACTAATAGTCCGCGAAACTGCCACTGATGCCGGTAAGTCAAAAGGGAATTCCAGCCTCTCCAAATTAATATGTATATTAAAAATTTTCATTTTTATACAGAAGGTCACACTATCTTGATCTTCATACCTTAGCTTTCCATGTTTCGTTTCCGGGTAAGTTTACAGGACTGCCAGTATTTTATTTATATATCAACTACTTTCATCCAAATTTATTTATGATAAGAAATCTGTTAATTGAGTTTTTCCCACAACGATATGAGTAGGCTTTAGAATTCAATTGATTTCACATATTCTTGCTTTTCCCAAATGTTATTTTATCCAGCCTGGAGGGCACTGAAGTGTCCCTTTCACCGAGGTCATATCAACACCCCCAGTTTGGAGGTCGAAACTGCAGTCTACTCCAGCCTGGATGAAAATACCTTTTGGTAAAAGCAAGGCTATGTGAAATTTCCACTCATATGATTGTGGGAGGAATTCAACATATTAATTTATTAAACCTAGGCTTCTTCTGGTGTCAAGTTTTTCTCACAATCATATGAATAGGCCTCACTATTCCATGTTATTCCACTTAACCTTAGATCCAAAAGATTATCTAATACAGGGCGGACGACAATTTCATCTTCACCTAGGCTTCATCAGCACCCAAATCGGATAAAAAGCGTCATAGCAACACTTTGCAACTTCGATAAGCAATGGCAGAAGTCCCTGTGTCAAAGGGATAATGTTTCATTCAGGGCAAGCCAGGCCTTCTCGATATAACAACGTATACTGAGACATGGTACAATCTGCAGTCCAGTTCAGCCTGGATGAGGGAACATTTCGGAAGACAAGACTAATTAGAATTAAGTGGAATTTAGAAGGCTTCTCGTATCAATGCAAAGACCACTCAACTATCATTCCTTAGTTTAATTGAAGGTACGAAGGCCAAGCTGGTGTGGCCTTTGTGTGGTCACAGCCTCCTTTCGTTGTATAGAAGTTGTTTGACCTTGATTTTGCAACTTGGACATGTTGGTAGCAAGACTTAGACCACACCATCTTGGTCTTCATACCTCCGATTAAACTATATGTTTTATCGAATGTATAAAGATCAAAATGGTGTGGCCTTTTGTGTGGTCGCAGTCTCCTTTCGTTGTATAGAAGTTGTTTGACCTTGATTTCGCAACATGGTCAAATTGGTAGGAAGACTTAGAGGAACGCACCTAGTCCGGAGTCCATTGTATGCATGATCATTTCCTGTTGGTAGGAAGACTTAGACCACACCATCTTGGTCTTCAAACCTCCGATTAAACTATATGTTTTATCGAATGTATAAAGATCAAAATGGTGTGGCCTTTTGTGTGGTCGCAGTCTCCTTTCGTTGTATAGAAGTTGTTTGACCTTGATTTCGCAACATGGTCAAATTGGTAGGAAGACTTAGAGGAACGCACCTAGTCCGGAGTCCATTGTATGCATGATCATTTCCTGTTGGTAGGAAGACTTAGACCACACCATCTTGGTCTTCATACCTCCGATTAAACTATATGTTTTATAGAATGTATAAAGACCAAGATGGTGTGGCCTTTTGTGTGGTCGCAGTCTCCTTTCGTTGTATAGAAGTTGTTTGA